AAGTAGAAAAGAAGTAAGGAAGGAAGAAAGAAAAAAAAAAAGAAAAGAAAAGAAAAAAAGAAAAAAGAAAGAATGAAAGAAGTCTTTCATTCTCGCGTTTGAGGTTTGTAGCGGATACAAAAAAATTTCTGGATACTCGACAATCGCACGAGAAACATTTGATTTTCGATTTTAAAGTACGAAAAATAAAAGAAAAATAACTAACGAATGAAATAAAATGAAAAAGAGAGAGAGAAAAAAGAAAGAAAAAAAAGAAAAAAAGAAAAATGTAAAGAGAAACGAAAACAAGAAAGATGACGTTTTCGATTTCGTTTATTTTCTTTTCTTTTCTTTTCTTTTCTTTTCTTTTCTCCTCTTTAACGAGTCCAACGAGAGAACCAATTGTCGTATGAGACAGCGCCAAAAATTCATTTCTGTCTTGCCACGTAATACAAAGAAAATGTCGACTTTCCCAAATCGTTCCTCTTAATGGATTTTCTTTATTAACGCGTTTTCGTCTTCTTAGTGCAATAAAATCGAACAATGACAAAGACGACGACGTCGTCGTTTACGTTCGTTGGTTGTCCGCTTGTCGTACCACGTAAACCGCGAAATATTAAACCGCAAGCACACATGGTGTGCGTGCGATCGACTTTCACGAGGACGAGGACGACGGGGACGTGCTGCCATGCAGCTTCCAAGAGATAGATAGAGTTAGAAATAGATTGATAGATAGATAGATAGATAGAGATAGAATCTGGAGCACATCCGCTCCCAACAAGAACGGTAATTATCAATTATTTGCAATTCGGCTTGGCCGAGCGAAGGGAGACGATATCTCTCTCTCCCTCTTCCATACTGGACGCGAATTAAACGTATCATAAATATTTTTGCATCGTATTGCTTTCCAAGGTGTCATCATCCGAGGTCATTATAAATAGTCAGATGATAATAATGAACGATAATATAACGACATGACGATATTATCTCCGTGTGTTAAACGGAATGATCTGCGATGAACTTTCTATAAAATCCTTTTCGACCTTAATCGTTCTAAAGTTTACAATTGACATTGAACATTAGTTATCTTCTTCTTTATAACATAACGAAATATTAATATACTTGTGTAAGTCATGTAAATGTTAATACACTTCTCCTCACTCACCGAGTTTACACTTCGTTAAGTATTCACAATAATCAGGATGTTATGTATAAAAAGACAATGAGTATATACATATATATATATATATAAAAAAAAAAAAAAAAAAAAAAAAAAAAAAAAAAAAAAAAAAAAAAAAAGACAGAAACAAACCACCAACATACACGTTTGAAGTCCACCTGTCGTTGATATATATGTATATATATATATATACTTTTTTTTAATTATGTTTTCTCTTCGTCGTAAGGGAAGCAAAAAGAAAAAAGAAAAAAAAGAAAAAGAAAGGAAAAGAGAGAAAAAGAGAGAGAGAGAAAAAACGATAATGTTCGCGATAGAAATTTCACTCACGAGCAATGCTACAAAGATTCGTAAGGGTGTCTCTCTCTCTCTCTCTCTCTCTCTCTCTCACTCTCTCTCTAATGTCGTTAAGTTAAACGAATTAGCGGTGGTTCTCCGATACTCCGATGGAAACACGTAACCTTAGACTCCGTTCTAGAAGCTCAAGTATAAACGAGGATTGTACAACGACAACTGTCACGCGCCGTTCAAACGCTCTCGTAACTTTACACTCTTCTCTCATCGTATTTCTCTTCTTCCCTCCCACTAGCCCTCTCTCCCTCCTTCCCTTTCTGTACGTGTGTTATACGTATATGTATATTTGTATATATATATATAAATACACATACATATACACGTTTTGCGAGTGGGAGGACTATGCGTCTTTGTTAGTGATATTTAATGACTTCAATGCAAACGCGGAGTCTGTCTCTCTTCGTTAAAGCTTTGTTAGAATAATAATGCACATTGTGCTCATTCGAATTCAAATTACCCGCGTTTTCTTTTTCAATCCAATATACGTATCATCATTTTCATGAAATATTTCTACGCACGCACACGTACAAGCGAAGAGAAAAATAAAAAAGAAAGAAGGAAAAATAAAAAAAAGAAAAAATAAAAAAGAAATAAAGAGAAAAGATAAGAAAAAAAAGAGTGTACGCGTAATGAGGAGTTTCATCATTTTTTTTTTTTCTTTTTTATAGACCGCATATAAAAAGAGAGAGAAAAAAAAAAAAAAAAAAGGAAGAAAAAGAAAAGAACAAATGTGTAAGGCGCAAAAGACCACATTTTTCAGTTCTTTCATAGTCAGTAACAATTTACTTCTCTCTGAGGTAAATCCGTGTCTCGACTCCTAAATGTCATAAATTTTGTTTTACGCGACTTGATAACAGCTACAACGCGCCGCCTAATAATCTTAATAGTATTCCAAGAGTCTCTCGCCGTTTAACCTGTTGCACGAAAGCACGACTGAAATTTTCAAATGTGAAAAAAAATAAACAAATAAATAAAAAAAATAAATAAATAACTAAATAAAAAAAAATAAATAAATAAAAAAATAAATAAATAAGAGAAAATAAAATGAAAACAGAAGAAGAAGAAAAAGAAAAAAAGAATAAACTGAAACCAAGGATGTTTCTGAGTGGCTTGACAAAGGTCGTCCTTAATGTAAAAACATCATGATATATAGGGTGAACTATTTGTAAAGAACTATCAAATAGAAATTGTTAGAAAATTTTCTGTTCTTTTTGAGATTAAATTATCTTTCATTTCTCTGTCTCTCTGTTCTCCTCTTTTTTATTTTTCTTTCTTTTTTAACGCAGAATAATCAAAGGCGATCATGTTATATAGATCACCCTGTATATTGAATGAATATTAAGGCTCGTCACGCCTGCGAATGCTTACGACACCTCTCTCTCTCTCTCTCTCTCTCTGTCTCTTTCTCTCTCTCTCTCTCTCTCCCTCTCTCTTTGTCTTTCGATCGTTAAAATTGATCGAATTGCAAGTCAGAAACAGACTATGAATTACCAGTCAGTCAGTCAGTCAGTCAGTCAGTCAGTTAGTCAGACAAATTAGATTTTCGCGACATCTTTTGCCGTTAAATACGTGCGTGAGAGCTCAAGACCGGACGCTAAGTCGATGAATATTCTAAAGTCGAATCAAGGATGATCATCGAACGCAATAACGGCGCTATTAATCGTCCGAATGTTTCTACCTAAGTATGACGTGCATCGATTCAAAGCAGTTATAATATATCAAAAGTTTATTAAAAACAAATTGACCAATGCCCACGTCATTTGCAATTATTTTATTTCATTTTGTTTTCTTTTCTTTCTGTCTTTTATCCTTTTTTTTTCTTTTCTTTTTTTTTCTTTTTGTTTCTTTTTTTATTTCTCTCCCAAACAAACATTTCAATTCGTTTTATTCGATAAAACATCTCGCGCGATGACAAGTATTTCATCCGCGAAATTTGCACATGATAGATCCTGTTTAAATTGAAAACACTCCTATTCTTTCCTTCTTCTTTTTTTTTTTCGTGCCTCTGCACCTCCCCCGCCCAACCCTCGCGGCATTACCCCTCCCCCTCCAGCCCTCATTTGTTTGCCAGATATTGCAACACGACAAAGGAGTTTGGAAATTTTCTGCTCGATACATCTATTCGTTCTTTTTTCTTTTTTTTTTCCTTTTTTTTTTCTTTTTTTTTTTTTTTTTTTTTTTTAATAATAATAATAGATCATTTAAGCAAAGAGATAATTATCGTAGCTTCTTTACCTTCAATCTTTTTTTCTTTTTCATTTTCTTTTTTTTTCTTTCTTTTTTTTTTTTTTTTATACGATTAAATCATTGTCATCACGAATATTGTATTTCCTTTGTGAGCGATGTTATAACATTACCATACGATAATTTTATTTTTTTCCTTACACACAAGCATTCCCAGTAGGACGAGTTATATCTTGAACATTGGTTAACTCGAAACGAAATTTCGAAATAAAGGACGACAAATAGAATGAGCAAAAAAGAAGATTAAAGAATGTTGATCAACGGCTTCCTCTCTATCGGCACAATTCCAAAAGGAAGAAAAATGATGACATCAACATCCCGTAGACATAAAAGATAAAAGTATGAAAACGATAATTTAATAACGTAACAACATTTTGGTATAACACGTTTGACAAGAAAATAAAGTAAATAACAAATAAATAACGAAAAAAAAAAAATGAAAAAATATAAAAAAGAATAAAAAAAAAAAAAAAAAAAAAAAAGAAAAAAAAAATAAAAATAAAAAGAAAGAATATAATCAAAAATAGATATTCGTCGTATCAGTTTATCGATCGATGTATCGATCGATATATCGCTAGAATCTAATGAGAATTAAAAGGACAACAACACTTACGGGAAAGAAAAGAGAGAGAGAGAGAGAGAGAGAAAGAGTGAAAGCACAAATATTTCATAAAGAAAAAAAAAGAATATAATCAAAAATAGATATTCGTCGTACCAGTTTATCGATCAATGTATCGATCGATATATCGCTAGGGTCTAGTGAGCACTAGTGAGGACAACAACACTCGCGAGAAAGAGAAAAGAGAGAGTGAGTGAGTGAAAGAGAGAGAGAAAGAGAGAGAGAGAGAGAAACCACAAATGTTTCAGGAACGAATGTGAATACGTGTATAGTATATGTTGTATATAATTCCGAGGAGATCGAAATGATCGAAGAGAAAATCCGTGGTGGTGTTTAGAGTGTGTGCGCGCGCGCGTGAAAGAGCTAGAGAGCTCTGTTGTGTTGCTCGATCGCGGGCCTCGTGCTAACTGAACTCAACTCGTCGTTTGCTGAGTAACCGTGGCTCACTCCTCGAGAGAGCTCGAGAGCTCGACAGGGACACGCAAACGACGAACACAGCACAGCACAGTACAGCACAGCACAGCACAGTACAGTACAGCACAGCGCAGCGCAGCGCAGCACAGCACAGCACAGCACAGCACGATTCTAGCTAAGCGAGCTTCTCTTCGTTACTGAATCTTAACGACGATACGCGTTTCCCATATATATACGTAAATACGTATGTATGTATATATATATAATATATATATATATATATATGTGCGTGTATGTACAGATGTACACGCATAAATATAATGTATGTATGGATACGCGTGTTTATTGACTGGCCCTCTCTCTCCCTCTCTCTTTTTCTTTTCTTCTTTCTCTTTATACTTTTTGCCTACTATATTCATCTCTGTTCCTCTCTTGCTACTAGATGCTTATATTATATCTATATGGATGTATGTATATATGAATGTATTCATTTGTGTATATAAATATCTACATCGTGAATTTGGTAAACGAATGTATAGACATATGTGCATGTCTCTCTCTCTCTCTCTCTCTCTCTCTCTCTCTCTCTCTCTCTCTCTCTCTCTCTCTCTCTCTCTTTCTATATGTATATAATGACTGTATATAAATGACGAAAAAGATTAATCAATCAATCAACATTCTCAAGATGACTCGTAAAGTGATATATGTAATAAATTTTTTCTCGATTTATATCTGAACGACAGGTTGTGAATGGAAAAATGCGCTTTGTACGATATCTTTTTTTCCTACTCGAATAATTTACAAATGAGTAGTCGGAAGGAAAAAAAAAAAAAAAAAAAAAAAAAAAAGAAAAAAAAGAGTGAAAAGAAAAAGAAGTGCGCTTAACTCGACAAAAAAAGCCCCGAAAAAATAGTTAAAAGGATGAGACACGAATCGCGATTGATAGTCGCCGTTGACTAAAATCTCTCCTCTTCTTCCTTCTCATTTTAGTTTTGCCTGTGGGTGGGTTATCTTTATTCGCGAAACGTGCGTACGCTAGTCACGTAAAATGTTCTCTTCGTCTCTTTCTCTCTAGTAAAGCAAAGAGGCAACAAAAGGTGTGCGCGTGCGCGCTTGTTGGTTGCCTGGACGACTGCCGTTGCCGTTGCCGTTGCCGTTGCCGTTGCTGCTTCGGATGCCACCGCCTGAATAGAAATTAAACGGAACAAACCGCGCCTAGATGCATTCGTTGTGCAACAAACGCGTTTAAGAGACGCGTCTCTTGTGGTTCGCAAGCAAGAGTCACGAATAACTAAGTGAGGCTGGGGATAAGGGAAGGGAAGGGGGGAAAGGAGGAACGTGGTACCATCAAGTATGAGGATAGATCCATTAGATTAATTGACTTCGGGACCCAACGCGCATGATACGTGGATAGACGAAGCGGAGGGATGAGATGAGGTAAGGTGGGGTGGTGGGCTACGACGGTGAGGAGAGGAGAAGAGGGGAGGACCTTGACTCGAACCTTATTTTCTTCATCCTCCTCCACCTCCTCCACTTCCTCCTCCTTCTCCTCTTTCCGACGATCTTTTTTTAATTCGAGTTAATTTATTAGATCCGATGCATATTATAAAAAGATTCAGCAAACTTGCGGTATGCATTTATTATTAGTTTTTCATCGAACAAATATGATTATCAACAGAGATTAGATTTTCTTCGTTTTTTTTTTGTTTTTTTTCTTTTTTTTTTTTGCCCGCCCCCCTCACCCCACGTATTTTTTCTACTTCTTTTAATATGCTCGATACGATAAACCGTGTAAAAATAGAATGACGAACGAATCATTCGATTCGAGAATGATTATAATAAAATTGGAATAGTAATGATCGAAGATTTGTTATTTTTTTGTTTTAGTTTTGTTCTTTGTATCATTTCGGGAGAAAAAGTTTGCAACGCGAGAAGCCGATCATCGATCGTGGATTTGTTGTTGAAAGGTTTCGGAAGTGGAAAGTATGTATGTACGTATATATGTATGCATGTATGTACGTACGTACGCCGCGCGCGCGCATGTATATTGCACTTTGCAATCTACGTAGAGAACTTTCTCGCGAAGAGAACGGATGCGTTTTCAATGATGAAAGTAACGATGCATAACGAAAAGAGAAATTTTATGTATATGCACATAAATAAGATGAAATGTATTTATACATGTGCTCGGATATATATATATATCAAAGTTTGATCGGAATCATCGATCTATCTTCAAATGTAGTTTAAATTGCTTTTACTCGACATTTAATTCGAAGAATTTACTAACAAAGTAAGAAAATAAGTATTTGTAAGAAATATTTTCGAGAAAATTCGAAAAGAAGACGAAAAAGGAAAAGAAAAGAGAGAGAGAAAAAAAAGATCGTTCATCTCTTTCCTAAAAATTTGTATGTTTGACCTTGACACCGATTACGCGCCGACGATGTAGATATATCGCGCAATTTTATTCACGATCTTTACTAATTGTAATGAAACACATATGTCGATTTGCTATCTCACTAAAAAAATAAACTTACATAATAATGTAAACATATGTATATGTATCGTAGGTACATATTTATGTCTAACGTGATTGTACGTATGTGTGGTTGTTTGTATTTGTGGTTGTGGATAAAAAAAAAAAAAAAAAAAAAAAAAAAAGTAGGTAATGAAGTTACTGACGCCGAAAACCGAATTTAAAGTCGTCGATTAATCCTCCTTATCTTTCGTTCGAAGTATTTAACTATTTTTAAGCAAGATTCGAAACGAGCTTTGAAGATAGGAGAAATATAATGTACGATAGGACCACACCCTCGTCAAAATTTATATATCCTTTACACAATCATTTAGCTCATTTATCCATTTGGATTCATCAACAGTTCGAAAACAGTTTAAGTAGTCGGGATAAAAAGAAAGATAGAAAAAAAGAAAAAAAAAAAAAAAATGTTTCGCTTTACGAGGAAAAAAAAGAAAAAAAAAAAGGTCTCTCGATTAGATCTGCGTTTTTATTCTACCGTGAATGGATTTGTAAGAAGCTAATTGTACGATTGACTCACGTGAATAATCTCTATCGAGAACATTCGCTAATTTCATTCTGATTCCGGATCTTGCAGATGAGTAAGACGAGCGATCGTAGAAACGCGAATGAGTCAGTCGGTCATCCACGAAAAAAGAAAAAGAAATAATACAAACCAAAAGAAAAACAAAAAGAAAAACAAAATGAGATATATACAAAGGGACTAATAATAACATTATGTAGATAGCATTTGGACGTCACATCATAAAAAAAAAAAAAAAAAGAAAAAAGAAGAGAGAGAAAAAAAGAAAAAAGAAAGAAAAACGAAATACGTGCATTAAATGAATTCGAATTAATGGAATTAAAAAAAAAAAAAAAAAAAAAAAAAAAAAAAAAAAAAAAAAAAAATACTTACGTTGACTTTTAACTTCGACAATAAGACTGCACTCGTAAATAATGAACGAAACATTTGTTTCTGATCGTATGATCAATTCAATAAAAATTTTATCACGATAACTTATTAACTTCTACCTTTTCCTTTTTGAATTTATTCATTTCTTTCTTTCTTGATATCGTAACTACTACTCCAACTAAACGTAACTCGCTCGTTATGTATATGTGTGGGCTGTCATACAAACAAAGTTACATAGCTCGTGTTTGCGCATTCCCTCCCTTCCTCCCTCCAACCCTAACACCCACCCTTGGTCGGTCGGTTGGTTGGTCGGTCGGTCGCTTGCACAGGATAAGTGGATTATACTCTCGGAACACATTAGTCTCTAAGAATAGAATTCGCTAGTATTAGAGTGCGTATCATAGATATAAAGAAAGAGCCATAGTATTAGTTCGATGAAGAAAGAAATGCATGATTTAAACGAGTTCTACAAATTACCCGACGATATATCTCCACGAGTTCGATTTGCTCTAATTACTTTAAAAAAATTTTTTTCTGTTTTTGTTTTCTTTTTGTTTTATTCTTTTTTCTTTTTTTTCTGAAATTATTCGTCAAGTTACGTTTGTACATAAAAATTTGCATTTTATCGCGAGAACTTAAATTGAGTGAGAGAGAGAGAGAGAGAGAGAGAGAGAGAAGTACGTAAATCGTACGTTTCGTCTATTTCTTAAATTAAAATCTAGAATAATAATAAAAATAAGAAAAAAAAAAAAAAAAAAAAAAAAATAAAAGAAATGAAAACTCACGAACGTTCTTTATTAAAGTATATTAAAACGACGGTGTAGCGATTCAGAATATTGGCCTTTGACCAAAATCTTGTTAGCACAGATAACCCATGATTTAAAAATATTCCATGAATTACGCGTCTTTATCTTTGACTTTATTATATCGGTTTACGTATGTATATAAAAGAGCGCGCGAGCGCGCGCACACACATATATACGCTTTGATTATTTCTCTTGTTTTGCTTTGTGTTCCTTTTGTAAACGCGCTCGTAAATAATAAATAATAAATATTCGATTATTTATGATCTATTAATTAATAAATAATAATAATAATAATAATAATAATAATAATAATAATAATAATAATAATAATAATAATAATAATAATAATAAATAATAAATATAATACTTAAAAGAAAAACCATTGGTTGCGTTATGCACGAAATAATTGCTGTTTGGAAATGAAACGAGAGAGATGCGTCTAATATAAAGGGGTGTATTATAAAAAATGACGTGTCATTGTTAAAAAAAAAAAAAAAAAAAAAAAAAAAAAAAAAAAAAAAAAAAAAAAAAAAAACTATTGCTTAAATAAAATCATCTGGCAATAGCAGAGACAATAATATATCAGGAGAAAAAAGGTTCTAAGAAAGACGTAAGATATGAAGGAAGATATAAAATATGAAATAGAAATTAAGGAAAAAAAGAAAGGGAAAAGAAAAACCAAAAGTAAAAAGGAAAAAAAAAAAAAAAAAAAAAAACAAAGAAAAGAAAAAAGAAAGAAAGAAAGAAAACAAAGAACACGAGCTTGGAAGAAAAAGAATAGGGACAAAACGAACGAAGGTCCGATCTAAGGAATTTAATAATATTAGAGAAAACGGCGAGAACGTGCTTTTGCTTGAATTAATTATACTTACGCGGAATCGCGTGAAAGACGAACCCTTTCCCTGTAAAATTTAGAAATAAAATATTATATATCTCATGGACTAAATTCTAATGTTAAGAGTGTATTGATGAGATTATAATCATTATTATTAAAGAGATTTCTATCGATGTTATTATACAAGTTTGCCCTTCGATTTATCGATTCTCCCCGTATAAGCCATATTAAATCAACATAAGCCTCGGTGAAAGGTGTCCTTGGCATTGCACGACTACGAGAGACAAACGAAGATGGCATCTTTCAGGAAATGCTTTGAAATTTCAAATATACCCTTTCTGTCTTCTATTTGCTCTCTCTCTCTCTCTCTTTTTCTCTTTGATCTCTATTATTTCAGTTCTAGGATATATTTCATGCTGTTATGTATGTTATGCTACGAAAAATCGCGATATTACATGCTTGTAGTTCCCCGTATAAATTCAGGTATATAAATCGTCTTCCTTAATTAACGAATGGAATTATTTTTACCCAATATTTCTCTTCCAAACAAATAAACAAGGAAAGAAAAAAGAAAAAAAAAGAAAAAAAAAAAGAAAAAAAAAAGAGAAAGAAAGAGGGAACATAAATAATAATACACGGTTGGTATTCAAAGGGTACAAAAAATAAATAAATAAAAAAAAAAAATTTTTAAATATAAAAGAAAATTTTTTTTTAATGTTATATAAAACAAAAAGAAAAAAAGGGAGAAATAATCAAGTAAACTATATAATTTCTTAGGGCATTAATTTCACGTATGCAGCAAGCTTTTGTTTAAGAGCAAATAATTTACGAGTTCAAGCTCGTCACTTTGGTTGAATTAATTCTACGGCATAGAAAAAAAAAAAAAGAAAAAAAAAGGAGAGAAGATAAAAAGAGATAGAGTTTCGTCTGAGTGGCATTTCCCGAAATTTGTGGTGAGCATACTGATATTCGTCTATCCTGTTATATAAACACAATATATATTTGCATCGTCACGTTTCTCGTCTCAGCTACATGTACATGTATATGTAGACGTATATTAAGTTTCTCTCTCTCTCTCTCTCTCCCCTTCCTCTCTTACTCCGCGTTTGTTTTTGTGCGTGTATGTATCAGCTGACGGAAAAATAGAACAACCAATAAGAACGCGATCCATTGCGATATTCAACATGCGAATCAGTGGTGTATTCATAAATAATGATGAAATATGAAGGATAATTGAAATTAATTGCATTTTTTTTTTTTTTTTTTTGTTAAGAAGAAAATGAAGGAGAGAGAGAAAGAGAGAGAGAGAGAGAGAGAGAAATGAAAATCAGGGCATTGCATCTATCTTTTTTTTATTTTTCTCTTTTTTTATTTTTTTTATTTCTTTTCTTTTTTTTTTTTTTTTTTTTTTTTTTGACGTACGTACGCACGCGTGTCCGCCTCCAATTTTAGTCGAGCCGCGTCCTAGTTGAGATATGTTTAGAAACGTTATAATCGATGTCGTCTTTTCTCTCCCCCTCTTTCTAACTCCCCCGCCCCCGCCCCACATATACACGCACGCGCACACACAAGCACACTTCCTTTTATCTCTCATCTTTTCCATACACTTTCGTTTTGTCTAGGATCATTCGTTCTAATGAAAAATATAATTATATCTCTAATCGTTTATATCGTTAAACTATGAAAAAATTCACTCTTATCTATCCCAAACTATCCTCCATCCCTCCTCCCTCTTGTCTTGTCCCAATCCATCATTTTTCCTTTTTTTGCAACATATCGGATATGATATCGTGAAAATGTTGCGATCGAAATCGTTATAAGTGCATAATCGAAGAAAAATGTTTTCAATCTCGTTGGGAGGATTCTCCATGTGACGTCACTCTTTCCCAACGTGATCTCACTCGTTTGCTCGCAATCATCTCCCGTCGAGTGGTAGCAAGTACGAGCAGTTATGTAATCGCAAAGTGGAAGAAAAAGAGAGCGAAGAAAGAGAGAGAGAGAGAGAGAGAGAGAGAGAGAGAGAGAGAGAGAGAGAGATCGTGCTCTCGCAAGAAAAGCCTTTTCTACAAACTCGAGTACGAGGCCTTCTTTTCTTAACGAGCTACTGCTGCTACAATTACTACTACTATTACTACTACTACTGATGCTGCTTCTAATACTAATACTACTACTACTACTACTACTACTACTACTACTACTGTTACTATTGATGATGCTACTGCTACCGCTATTCTAAATACGATACGATGAATCTCCAGTTCCGTGAATAGTTATTTTCTAGACAGCACGGCTAGTTTCAGAGTAACAAGTGTAACAATGTGTACGCGGGTCAAGATCAAGAATAAATTTGAAATCTTCATTGATATATATATATATATATATATATATATATATATATATCGAATATTATTTTGGCGATAGAAATTTTACTTTCTATGAATCTTTCATGAGAAATATGAAATGTAAATTTTTGAGAGAGAGAGAGAGAGAGAGAGAGAGAAAATATATATATATGTATGTGTGTACGTGTAAAAGATGGATTGAAAAGTTCTTAGGCAATTTTAAAAATAAATTACTTTTCTCTCGAGACTTTTTAGTTCTATTTCTTTTCTCCTTCTTTTTTTTTTTCTTCCTCAGATTGTAAAAAACCACAAGTTCAACTTGGTGGCATAAGGTAATTATAAATAATTAATCTACGAAAAAGTGTCTCTCGAGAAAGAGTTATTTTGATTTTTAAAATTGTTCGAGGAACTTTTGAAATCCTTTCTCTCACGTTGGTTTGTCGATAGAGACAAAAAAAAAAAAAAAAGGGAAAAAAAATAAAAATAAAAAAGGAGAAAAGACGTTGGAAAGATCTAGCGCTATGATTTATTTTTGTATATCAATGTCGTTCATTCTCGTTCATTTCTTGGTTGAAAAGACGAGAAATGAGTATAACACGAATCCTTGAACGCGCTTCGTAAACGCATTCGCCAGCGTATTACAAGTGTATACTATATATCGGCGGCAGAATATGCCACGTCGTGCTGGTATACCAGCTGCTGCTGCTGCTGCTGCTGCTGCTGCTGCTGCTGATGATGATGATGATGGTGGCGCACTCGAAGGCAACTCAAAGCCCCTTTTTCATCGGATTCGAGTTAAAGTCAGATTCTAGATAATGATCGATTCGCGAAGGCCCAAAGAGTAGCCCCGCCGGCCAGAAGGCCATCCTCAAAATTTTCTCCAATCTCCAATTTTTCTTGCGATCGCTTATCTCA